AGGAATGAGCACGTTATAACGTTTAAATAATAAACCAATCATCAACTTTCATGTCTTTCTAAAAATTTTGTCTACAAATTTAGTCTCTCTTTATAATTGATTTTCAAAATAAAAATACTACTAAATTAAACGGTTTGATCATTGATTTTCTTAATGTTATCTTATAGAATTTGTTTGATATGTATTTCTTTGTGTAATGGCTAACATACGTCTTCATCGTAATCCTTCTAATAGTTCAAAGAAAATAAGGCGCATCCTACTTACGGGTTGCCGTAGCATATCAGATAAAGGGTTGAGTAGAGTGGCTTCAGAACTTCCTTTGTTAGAGGAGCTTGACATTTCCTTTTGCGAAGGGATCTCACATAAATCTCTACAAGCAGTTGGCCGCTCTTGCCCTCTCTTGAAATCATTCAAGTTGGACAAATGCGGGCTGGCGAAGCAGTTGGCCGCTCGTACCCTTGACGAGATTCGTCGCTTCTTTTTTGAGTATGCAGACGAAGATGCACTTGCTATAGCAGGAGGAATGCACGGATTACAGCACCTCCAACTTGTTGGGAATCCACTTTCTGTTATGGGATTGCAGAAAATTCTTTATGGTTGCCCTCATCTTAAGTCACTTAAACTGCGCTGGTGTTCAAATATTAATGTAGCCACCCAAGTTTTAGAAGAAGATGCGCTGCACAAATTAAGAAGTTTAGAATATTCCCAATTTACTGATGACAAGGGTTTTGTTCTCAAGAAGTTTGATGGACTTTGTTTGACTCTCAAATGACCAAATTCAAGTGTATTCGATATAGGTTTTTACTCTATGTTTAGATGAGGAAGTTTTTAAGATTATTAAGGAAAATCAGAATTGTGAAATTCGAAATTATGAAATTCATTTTCTAGAAATTATGAAGTTTCTTGTTTGGCTGTTGTAAAACTATAATGAATTTATGTAAAGAAAATGCAAATTACAAAAGCTTAGCAAGCATTAGGTTACTTTTGTCCATTACCATTTATATGTTCATTTGTAATTGCTCAAAACAACGAGAAATTCTTGTGTTCGTCCAAAGGATCACGCACCAACAAGAAAACATACAGAACCAAGCAAGACCACCCCTTCCCGCCAAGAGTGGAGTTAACCAAAGACCTCCTTGACCAACCTGAAAACAACGGGGTCCCCTTAGTAGTCTCTGGCATACAGGTTCCTAAAAAACAAGGGTAATTTTGTCTATTACAATTTATACATTCATTGTTTAAAATAACGAAAAATATAAAAACGTCAACGATCACGATCAAAAAATATGAAAAAGTCAACGGTTGAACCCGGAAAGGTACCGGCCCAATGGAGGCCCAGAACCAACCAGGCCCATAAGTGTTCTTCGTAATTGATCAGTTATCACTCGTTTCCCACTCTCCTTAACCCCGAAACTGAAAACCCTAGCCCTCCATTTTCCCGAGAAAATCCCAATTTCGAAACTTTCCCGGAAAATCCCCGAATCCAATCAAGCAAAAGCCTCCATGGGGAAGAAAAGAAACAAGAAGCCCCAAGCCCCCCGATTCCAACCCCCTCGCTACAAGTGGGTACCCAAATCGAGACCCGCCACAGTCGAAACCCGAAACTGGTTAGAACTTCCACGAGACGTCACCGTTTCAATCCTGTCCCGACTCGGGGCCGTCGGGATTCTTTGGAGCGCACAGTATGTGTGCATGGCTTGGCGCCAGATCTGCAAGGACCCTCTCATGTGGCGCACCATCGACATGCGCAACGACGGCGATTTGGATGATGTGATGTTCAACTTGGATTTGATGTGCCGCTGCGCAGTGGATCGTAGCGCCGGCAATCTCGTCGATCTCAACGTCGAATACTTCGGCTCTGATTGCCTCCTCAACTTTATCACCGATCGGTATTGAATTTTCGCTTTTGTTAAATTTTTGGTTTTTGAAATGTTTTGGTACTGTGGTTTCATTAATTTGCTAAAATTGAATCAATAGATCCCCGAATAGACGTTTACTCGATCGTTTGCGTATGAATTTGCTCTAATCAATATGTTAATTTGATTTTGATTTTGTTTTTGTGTATTCTGTTTTTTGTGGATTGGATAATGTTCATCTGAAATATTGCCATAGGTGCCGTGGAATCAAACGTCTCCGGTTCACATATTGCTACGGTATAACAGATGGGGGGTTGAGTGAAATGGCTTCAAAACTTCCTCTGTTAGAGGAGCTTGAGATTTCTTTGTGTGACAATCTGTCGTCTAAATCTGTGGAAGCGGTTGGACGCTCATGCCCCCGTTTGAAGTCATTGAAACTGAACAGAGAGTGGTTCAGATTCCCGGATGATATGTTTGATTACTCTAATGATGAAGATGATGATTACTTTGATGACGGTGATTATGACTATCCTGTGATTGATGATCAGAATGGTAGCTCTGCGATTGCTCCTTCCCGGAAAGATACCGAAGCACTTGCTATAGCAGGAACGATGCATGGTTTACGCCACCTCCAACTGTTCGGGAATCAGCTCACTAGTGACGGCTTGAAGGCAATTCTTGATTCTTGTCCTCATCTGGAGTCACTTGATGTGCGCAATTGTTTCAATCTTAATCTGAAGGGAGATGTGGAAAAAAGATGTGCTGATCGAGTTAAAAACTTGCGGCTTCCCTTTGATTCAACTAAGGACTACGAATTTTCTTCTACAGCCTATTATGGAGATGGAACCCCATTTGGAGATTTTGATGAATCTGAGCTCTGTGGCTACAGGGATTATCTTGATGACGAGGATGACTTCGATGCTGATTATGACTATGATGAGGCTAGTTACTTCTCAGATGATAGTGATTGGTATGATGATTTTACTAAAATTCGAATTTCTGATATGTTGTTCTGAATTGGAGACCATATAGCAGCAGAAATCTGGGATGCAGAGGTATTGAATTTGCAGGGTATCAACTTCGTTCGTCCAAGGGATCCTGAATTTCGCCGTGAACTCAATTTCCGGTTTGGTAGCAACATGGACCTTGTTGCCTGTTCTGTGTATGGAAAGAGAGCTCAAAGTTATTTGTATTGTTGTTTTGCTACTAATTTAAAAGCTTTCTTGAGATCTCCTTTTTGTATATTTCTTTTGTTCCCCTGCATCTCAGTTTTGCATAATTTGGTTCCACATTGTAATTTGGGATTTCAAATTTACAAGAATGCGTTTTACTTGTGGACTGAACTGAAACGAGTCAAGGATAAGTCCATGCAAGGGGCAGAACCAAGTCCATCCCAAAGATGAACTTTAAGATATCGTTTGGTATGCAGAGACATGACGGGTCGGAACGGAGAGGGAGGATGCCCTCAGATCGAAACAAGGAGAAAGAAGGAGACGGAGAGGTTATAATTTTTGTGTTCCATGGATGTGGAACGAGTTGTTCCATGAGGGTGAGGCGGAATGAAAATTCACACAAAATTTGTCTCGTGGAATAGCGCGTTCCATCCGTTTTAGGCTCATCAAACGTGGTACGGAACATCTCGTTCCACTCCGTTCCGCCCCGTCCCACGTACCAAATGGTACCTAAGCGCAAGCGATTTTATGGAAAAGCACCTCGTATGTGTTTCTTTTGTGGTAGGTCGCGTTGTCATACTTTGTATTTTATTTACACTCTAACACCCTCGGTGACTGAGATTTTCCGGCCAAAATTTTCGGTCGGACCAGTTACAAAAGTTACTCTCCGCAACCTTTTCTACGTACGTATGTTCGTTTTGGGAGTCCATCAACAAATCAACGTACACGTTCATCAACAAATCAACGTACAAATTCTAAATTGGGGATTGCTAGCTACCCTTTTCACTTGTGTTCCGTCCAAATTCGATTTTCTAGCTACCTCGTATGAATTGGAGACCGTCTAGCAGCAGAAATAACTCCGAAGCATATTTGAAAATCCGCTCACATTGTTTGGATGATGTGTGAAATTCATAAAGATATAGTTACTAGGTTTCTCTGTAAAGTTGGCTTGAACTGAAACATGTCAAGGAAGAGTCCATGGCCTGACGTAGGGCGAAGAACCAGTCACCATCAAGCTTGTAGCTCAAGGAGTTGTCACGGTTCATGAATCTTCTTTTAACTACCTACTCATGTGCACTTCATGTCTGCAGAGATATTTCAGAGTACCAAGAACACGGCTTGGTACACAAAGTGTGCGTTTGTTGCACCGGACTGTCTCGGACTGGACTAGCTACAGGAACTAAGCTGGATTGGCTTAGAATAGACTAAGCTGGACTAGCTTAATGAAGCATTTGGTGCAGTGTCGGACTAATTTATGGACTAAAATTATTTTAGAGCCCAAAATATTTTTTTAATCTATATGAATTAATATTTTATTATTACTTATAATTTCAAGAATCATCTCGTGTATACCTCCTTTGTTCTCTCCGCCCACTTCATCCCTCCTCCGCCTCATCTTCTTTCTATACCTCCATTTTTCTCTCCGCCCATTGCATCCCTCCCATCTGCGTCTTTTCTCCTTCATTTTCTCTGTACCAGAGTCTCCATCCCCTTCTTTTCTTCTCCCATTTCACCTCTGTACCATTGTCCCCTTTCTTCTCCCTTTGTATTTATTTTGTTTCGCCTCAAAGGAAACGCCTAGCGCGGGAGCTGAAGCAGCAGAGTAGCAGAGATCGTTCACGGGATCCTAAGTCCTTCAAGCGAAGATCAGGTGTTCTTTTTCGTGAAGCAAAAAGGGGAAATCTGGGTTGTGGGTTCGTCAGGAAGCAAATTAGGGATTAGGTTCGCAGGATGATGGAGATCAGTGAGAAAGCAGGATTTTGGTGACTAGGTTTGCGGGATGATGGAGATCGGCAAGAAAGAAGGATTTTGGTGACTGGTGAGACGTTGGTGGTGAAGACGGGATTAGCAATCCCCTAGTTTGTAGAGGGTCTTGCTTAGAACAGCTAGCGATGGACTTAGTCGGCACGAGTCTGATTTAGTTCCATTAAACTTAATCTCTTTCCGCACCAAACATGGACTTATAAGCCAGTCCAATCCAGTGAATCCTAAGGAAGCCAAACAAACGCACCGAAAGTGTAATAATAAAAGTAGATGAAAGCTCGAAAAATAAAATTTCTAACTAATTATTATGATATAAGGCACCTTCTTAACTTTTTGGGTGCGTTTGTTGCGCCGGACTGTCTCGGACTGGACTAGCTGCCGGGACTAAGCTGGACTGGCTTAGACTGGACTAAGCTGGACTAACTTAGTGAAGCGTTTGGTGCAGTCTCGGACTAAGAAGCAGGATAAGAAAAACAGTACTGTTCACCAGATTTGTGTTTGCTTAGACTAGGACTACAAATTTTTGTCATTGTGTAATAGAGTAATACTACAAATCTCATGATATGGGTTAATTGGAGCATATTTTTGCCATGTATATGAATCTTAAAAAAAATTGACAATTGTTTTGTTTCTATTACCTGCTAATAGAATTGGGTTTAATTTGCAAATGTAGCTTGATTTAAACTCTATCACCCAACAGAAGAAAAATAATAGTGGCCAATACATGCAACTTCAACAAATACAAGTACATAAGATCTCCATAATTTAGAAAATCCTAGTTAACATTAGTTAACATTAGCCAAAATAGATCTCCATAATTTACAAAATGGCTAGTTAACATAAGCCAAAATACTAGTGCAAAGCTAAGTTATAAGTCATAACATAAGACTGTATGATTAATAAAATATACATCCATGTTAACGTTAATAAAATACATCCATGTTAACATTAGCCAAAATCCTCATCCGCTTGCGTTGTCT